GCATGGATATCATAAATAGAAGAGGAAAGAAAAGCAGAAGAGGTTGACGCACCATCTTTTAGATACTCTGGAGGTGTATAAGCAAGATTAGTGCTGTAGCTCTTCCCATCCATGCTGTTTTTCATCAACCCAAAACACGATAGCCGAGGATCGCCGTCCTGCAAAATCTCTACAAATCAACACAGTGATACAATATGATCATAATAAAAAAGGGGGATTGTTTGTTTATTGACACTCCACCTCGTCAAATAGAACTCTGTCTGCATTCAAGTCGTGGTATAATGGACGTGCTGCTTGACTGCAATATTCTAGTGCTTCAGCAATGCATAGAGCAACTCTTAAACGCATTGCCCACTCAATGGTTTGTTTCTCCCCTGTCAATGAAAGAAACAAAACATTGCATTCATTATCCAAGTTCTAAGGATCCACAGCCAGAAATTCATTATTTTAGGCATTCAAGATTTGAAGAACAAGAAGAAGAAACACAGATTGAAAGTTACAGTGGAACAAGTGCTTTGCAAGGGTGCAATTGGGCATGTATTCCGCAACAAGCAGCCTTTCGTCGCCCTCGCAGCAAAACCCGATTAAATTGGCGAGTGTTTTGTTTCTCAATTTCCCCACACCATAGGCTTCCGCCTGAATCAAGAGTTCATCAAAAACAGCATAAGCAAATATGGATTAAGACACCAAATCAGAACCCCAGAAATTGAGAAAAATGAACAGAGCGTGCTTACGGCAAACTGTTTGGCGTCCGGCCACGCAGCTTTGCTGAATTTTTTAACAGCAATGCACCCTAGGTTATTCTCTGCCTGGAGACGCCCCCTGTAAACGACATTAGAAGCTTTATCGCAGATTTCCGATACAATATGATCGGAGCTGAAGTTGTTAGTCGCCGCCTTGAGGTCGGCGAACGAAAACTCAAGGAACGAGGGCGCGCAATCATCCGTCGGCGGGGCGGCTTCTACTTCATTCTGATGGTGGTGGTTCTGGTGAATAGAATTATTGGCATGGGCATGGCCACGGCCATCGTCATCGGCAGAAGGTTTTTTCAGTTGAAGCATGGAAGATAGGCAACAGCCCATAACTCACTCGATTCGACTCTAACCTGCAATCGGAACTCGAATTTTCAGTCAGAAATGAAAACCAGAAGCGGGCGGAGGAATATTGAGAGAGCGGTTTGAAATGGAATTTCTAGAAAATGCGCTCGTTGGCTTGTGAAGAAGATAGAGAAAGGGAGGTAATTTTTGCAGGTTCATCGTGGTGTGATTGCCGTCGTTGTCTCCTTGGTGGCTGATTCTGTTTCTGTTTCTTCTGTTCACTCCCAGCGGCTAACAGAGGCATCGTCTTCCTGGATTCTTCTGCAAATGCGTTGTCGTAAGAGAAAATGGTACCAACATTTGTTGTAACTTCCCTTCTATTCCTTCATTAAAACAACTAAGTTTGTTGCAACGGAACACAGCTTTCTCCTTTTCTTCTTCAATTTCATCTTCCATTTTAGTTTACATTAATTTCTCTGTTCGTCTTTCTAATAATATCATCCATACTCTAACCTTTCCCATAGTTCAAAGTGTTATCCAATGATATCACTAAAACACGAATTAGTTAGGTAATATGATATATATTTTTTCTAAATTAGATTTGTTTGAATTTTCACCACTTTTTTGTTTTTTTTTTTTTTCAATCTCTCGTTTTCCTCGATAAAATCACGTGGATATTTAATTAGTATACTAATTTCGTGTATAAAAAATTCCCTTATTTTTCCGATGCTTGTTGCTGTGACAGAGCGTTTAGCAGCGAAACTCTGGCACTGATCAAACTTCTGAATACCTTCTGGCTTCGAGTTTCAATGTCGCTAAACCAATCCTCTGAATCTCTCATCTTCTTCATCGCCTTTTCCGTTTCTTCTTTTCCTTTCTTCTTCAATTCTCTCAATTTCTCAGATCCGATTTCTCTGAACTCTCGAATCCCTTTCTCCTCCTCCGCTGATTTCTTTGAAATGCGATCCAATCCTGTCCACGCCCATGGCTTCCTAGTCGAGAACGATTCTACGATTCCGTTGAGTAGCGCGAGAGAAACCGCCGTCGTCACTCCGACGACTTCTTCGATCACGGAGGCAAGATCGGCGGCGGTGGTGCCTTGTTCCGCCGTTTTGATTTTCTTCTGTAAGGTCGAAACTAGTTTCGTCATTTGCCTAGCTAGTCTCTTCCTAGCTTTAACATATAAAGCGATCTTCTCTTCGTCCTTTCTCCTCATCGCGACCTGCGCGGCGGAGTGCTCTTCTTTGAGCGTGAGAATCAAAGTCTGGAAGATTCCGTAAACATCGACGAAGGTTAAGAAATGTTCGAGAAGCTTATTGATCCAGTGCGGCTGGTGGCGGAGAGATTCTTGAGTCTGAGGCAGGTTGAGAACGTCGTCGAGATGGTTGTGGACGGTTTTGAGGCGGTTCAGGCCGTCGCATATCCAGGCGGCGGTTCTGGAATCCAAACTGAGCGACCAGGAGTTGAGATTGGCGATCTCCTCCTTGAGTTGGAAAATCAAGGGGTGCGATCTACAGGGGAGACTGATGGAACGGACGTGATGAGAGAGGGCGGGCTTGGGCGGAGACTTGTTTGGAAAAGAGAAGGATCGCCGGAAAACGCCGACCATGGCTGTGATTTTGGTGAGAGCGGGGTGAGGAATTTAGGAATTTTGGTGAGGAAAAGCGGAAGGGATTTTTGAAGTATATAAACAAGATATACTACTTACTTCCATTAACAAAATTAATCACCAAAATATAAATATATAATGTATGTTACATGAAATTTGCTCGAATCATGTTCAACTCGAGCGATACGTTGTCTTTTAACACGATATAGCGCATCCTTATTTCGTAACAATTACAACAGACCCAAGCTAGACGAAATAGAATTGATTGGGCAGACAACATATACACTCTGCATTAATTAAATCTCTAAAAACTTAAACAAAATAATAAATATTTTGTGTGCATTGAATTGAAAAACTATTGAAATGAATGGCATGAATTTCAACCATATAATAACATTAAAGAAGAACAGATTCAGCAATGAAGGGACACAGTGGAAATTGACAAGTCTTCTTTGAGTAGCAAAAATAATGGTAATGGCTAAGATATTAAGTTTTAGAATTTTGGAATTGAATTGCACTCATTGTTCATCGCAGCTTTTCCTTTTTCAGTCAAAAGTCATTTTGTTCTTTGTGGACATATTTTTTATTTATTTTTAAAATGTAAATCAATTATATATTTATTTGAGTCCCCTCTCTGTCTTCAATTTGGTATGCTCTCCCTTTTACATACCACACCAAGGAATAATAAAATAAAAAATTTAATTAGTTGAAGTATGTTAAAACTAGTTAATGGGATTATTATATTATAATTGATTGTACCACTTCTTAATAATTCACGCATCCTAACCATTCTAAGAAGGTCATTTTCATGTAAATTATACTAAATTAGAACCAAAAATTCCAAGAATAAAATAACATTTATTTTTAAAAATCAATCAACAATAATCGCCCACCAAACAACACAAGGAATCTAATAACTAGAAGTGGCCTCCAAAACGTGACCGTATTCAATATAAAATATATATATATATATATATATATATATAGTTTTGAAAAAATAAATAAAAAATAGTTTATTATAATAAAATAAAAATTTGTTATGCTAACCGCCCAAGCCCATTGAAATAGGACAATATTTAAATCTTTAATAAAATATCTACTCGTTATGAACTTGAGCTATTACTAATATTATCAAAATTAGACATCAGACATAGTGTTACTAAGGATGTTAGGAGTGTGGATTGCAAAATTTCACATTGATTGTAGAGTAAAACGAAACATTCCTCCATACTAGACACGTTTTAAAATTGTAACACTAATAACAATACGTAATAGACCAAATCAGCAATGCGTAATTGGGCGGCTTAGATCCATTCCCCCTCTCCGGTGCCCTTTGCCTCTGCTAAAAGACCCTTAAAGGAACTCTCCTTCTCTCTCTAGCTGTCTCCACGAATTTTGGGTATCATTCCAAAAGTTCCATAATATTAATATTAATTTGTTGATTCTTTCATCCATAATGCATTTCAGATTAACATGAATTAAATTATTAAAATGTGTCTTATGACGTGGCACCTTCTTTTGCCTTTCATTTTTTTAAAATTTAAATCCTCACCAACATGGATCGCATTATTACTTTCTCTATAAATATTAGAAAAATAAACTGAGCTCTAGAGTTCTATCAATGGGCCTTAGCTATCAATCCAACAGTTAAAGCCCTGGCCCATGTGCAAACATGAAATTATCGGCCCAGCCCATTGGTTATAAATGAAACGAGACGTAACGAACTCATGACGTGGCGCGTGGGATGAAATGCGTTTTTCAAAAAACTGCCGCGAACGTTTATTTGACACGTGGATTCTAATTAAACTCAATTTAAAAGTAGGGAACCAACGATTTAGGGCAATAGGATTTTGAATCAGAGCAGAAAAACGGGGAGCGAGCAGCAGAGGCGAGACGAAACGAAGATGGAGAAAGAACCGCCGCCACTCTGTTTCTCCGATGTAGCCATTGACGGAAAGTGCTTACGGCGGAGGAATGTAGAATAAACCTGCGAGGGACACGCAGAACGCCGACGGACCATTTGAAATCGGCTAGTCGCATTTCCAGTAGCCTGCCAGGTTCGTCGCTGCCGATTGCGTTTTGTATTTAGTAATGGCAAAAGGTAATTCGTGTCTTTTTATTGGTTCTTTTCTTTACTCGATAACGCCTCTCGTTTCCGATTAAATCGCTATTCCCAAGAGATTTAGTAGATAATTTAGCCACAAAAAGGGTTTAATTTATGATTGGTTACGAGTCACAGAATTAATTAGGTTTAAGAAGATTTGATTTGATCAATTAATGTTGTTCCACGTGTGTAATTAAAAGCCTAATCTATGAGGGACTTGAAACCAAGTTTGGGTAAACCCCTTCATAAATGAAGAACAATAAAGAAACTAATTTATGAATTAATTGGGAATTATAACTAAATAGAAGACATTAATTACAGGCCAAAAGCAAAAGCCAACCAACCAACTAATTAATCTAATTCGCAAGAAAATTTCGTATGATATTCTCCTAATAATAAAGCAACAAGCTGTGAATTTAATTGTACTAACCTTTCAAGCTCCCGGCCCTACAAATAACCTCCGCCGCCGGAGCTTCCCAAATCCCACTTCGTCTTTTCATTTCACTGAATCCGTCACTACACTCACTCATCTTCATCTTCTGTATTCTCCAACTCGCATCCGCCATTTCCTCCCCAACCAGATCCTCATATAACTTTTCCCATCCCACTTCCCAGTCTCCACGGGCATCGCACAGACCCATACTCCCATTTTCCCAATCCGTCCAGCTCCATCCTCTGTCCAAGGAACCCATCACATTTTCCACGCACTCACCCTCACATGCTACCCTGCACGGCCTGCATTTTGCCCCGCTCAGCGGCCCTGGACTCGACATTGCCGCTACCGGAACTCCAAATCCCCGCGGCGGAAAATTGTACTGCCGCTCCGTCACTATACAGAACGGTAACCGTTTTGTCTCAAATGGAACTCCTCCGGTGGTCAGCTGTTCCTTGAAGGCGGTTTCCGAGTTCAGTTGCCGGAGTCCGGCGGCGTCCAGTTTCGGAATTAGAGCGAGGCGTGAGAGAGCGACGGTGGAGGTGTTGAGATCTCCGACGCCGAGCCGGTCGTTGAGTCCGCCGTACGAGGATCCGGGCGGCACCAAGTAGTGTCCGGAGACGAAGCTATCGGGTCGGAGCGGAGCGTTCCAGAACCCGTCGACCCGAGTCCGAACAATCCAATCGTATGTGAAATTGTTGAGTTCTTGGTACGTCCGGATCATTGTCAGGCATCCTTCTACCAAATGGAAATACTGCAAAAGCCCCTGCAAAGAAAGCACATCCATTCACATTTAGTAGGGGCATTATCGTACTTTCCACTTAAAAAGTACATAAACTGGGGCACATCCACTGCATGACAATTGCGTCCTCCGTGTATAATACTCGGTTTACTTTATCAATTTGTATTAAATGGAATCCAATGATTTGTTCATGCGAACATAAAATGGAAAATTAAAAAGGCTATTACAGCAGTATATTTGAAAGAAATGGAAAAATGAGCTTATTATTAATAAATTTATAAATTTTAATGAAATTGAACATGGAAATATAAAAACAAATTCAGGTCATTACTGCTATTAATAAAAGGTTTTTGTTTGACCTTACTTTCCTTTATTTCTAAATTTCTTATGAAATACTAAAAGCGCCAACTATTTTTTATTCTATTCTTCGGTTGATTTGACGAAGAAAGAGAAGGAATGAATTCAAAGGTAAGCAAAGGTTTGAAGATTTATAAAATCAAGCCAAAAAAAAAGAGAGAAAACAGTTGTTACAGATACAACACCCGCCCCTCATCTTCTTCCTAACAGCCACCTAATCGAATAACGTTTCAACTTAAAATTTGACCAAAAATTTCAAAACGTTTTACAGATCGATTCACGAAAGAACCTGGATTCCGTTGGGCGAGTTCGCCGCCGTCAGAAGCCGGACTTGCGACTCCGTCTCCGGAATCGGTTTTGGCTTGAAGATTTTCACGGCGCCCAGTTTCGGCGCTGCTCTCAAGTACGATAACTTGAACGAGTTCCGGTCTAGCGGACTGTGCAGAAACAAATCCGCATTCGGATACTCCTTCAGAATATTCTCCATAATCGACGGCCCGGTTACCTCGAACCTCCTCGCTCCGCCGACTAAACACACCGCCATTTTCGATTTCTGTAACTCCGCCTTCTTCTTTCTCCATTTACGACCCTCGACGGACTCCTCCGCCTCTACGGCTCCTCTCGGAGGCTTACTCGGAGGTAGACCAAACGAAGAATCATCAGTTCGATGATTCGATTCGTGAGGCTGTTGAAACGAGGCGCCGATGATGAAGGATCGAAGCGGAGCGAGAGAGGAAAAAGGAATCGCAGGAACGGTTGAGACGGAGAAAAAGGCGATGAGAGAGAGAGGAGTTACGACTAGAAAAAGGAGACGCCAATCGACATCGGTAGCCCACCTTCGAAACGCCATGGCGATTTTCCTACGGCTTTTGAGCATCGAAGACCAGTGGAATATGGAAGAAAGTGAAGGAAATCAATGGCGGAATTTGGTGACTGAAATCCGTGTTTTCATTTGGAAGGAAATCAGTTAGGTCAGGCATTGGAAGAAGATGGGACCGACTTTTTGCGTGAATGAAACGTACGATATTCAAATATGAATCGGGACGCAAAGGTAATTTAAATCCCATTCATTAAACATTAATTATATTTAAATGATTTTTTTTTTTTTTTTTTCCTTTGCCATGAAAATAAGATACGACGCTTTAATGAAAATTGAATTTGCCTAATATGATTTTATTATTATTATTATTATTATTATTCAATTATCTAACATATTATTTTACATAACTAACTTGTTTAAGGAGGCCTCATTTTTATATATTATTAAACTTGAAATATAAATATATGGTTGGTTTAAATTCAATTTTCCAAATTTTGGTAATATCATTAATTTATGGCTATTTTTAGTTAAAAAATTAGATTTTTTTTTTTTTGCTTTTTTGTCAACCCTCTCAATATAATTTTGAATACATATGGGTATGGCGTCGTTTCAGGAATAGAGATTATTATTATTATTATTATTATTATTATTATATTGCAAATTGACCTAAAAGTTAACTTAAAATCAACTGCAATGACTAATTTTAAAAATATGAGTTAATTATATTAATTAACTACGATTAATCATCTAACCTATCATTTGGTAGGTCAACTGATAATCTGAATATGCTACAAAACTAACTTAGTTTCCTTGATGGTTTTGATTTATTGAAGCTGTTGGACTATTTACCAATTTTTCCAATAAAAATGTGGGAGAGAAAGGTATTAGAAATACAAATTAAGCAAAAAGAAAACAATAGTAACAAGGACGTGTTGAAAATTAAGCAAAGTCTGCTTAGAATAATCTTTTGTAGAATTTTAAAATTGACTTCAAGACTTTTATTTCAAACACAAATATAAATTATAAAACTTAAATTTTGCATGTTTTTCTTAGTCACTTGTTTGAATGTTTTTTTTTTTTTCCATTTTTACCCTTCCAAATTTTAGATACTACAAGCACAAAATATAACATGTATTTATTTTTATTTTTTCTAATTTGATAAAATATCGAAAATAAATAAATAAAAAGAAGAGGAAAGAGATAAATTAATTTGGGTCAAGATATCCTCTGCTTTGAAATTAGGTTGTTAAGATCAGTTTCTATTTAAGGAAAAAAAGATTTATATTTAAAAAAAAAAAAAAAAAAAAAGTATTAATATACACTGCACTCAAATCAACAGCTCTTGTCGATACAAGATCTGACTGTTACAAGAAAATGTTGAAACCAAGGGAGATATCTTTTGGCCCTACAAGGGGGTTGTTATATACACTGCACTCGAATCAACAGCTCTTGTTGAATCAACAATTTCTCAGTGAAAATAAGGGTTAGTAAAAGTACTGACTTGAGTAAGGATCAGCTCGTTTAGTCCGACAGAATCTCTTCCAATTCCAAATTTGGCTCCTCAGAGTTACCTCCCTCATATTCCACACTTGTGTTGAACGGATCTTTATCTTGGAACTCAACTTGTTCTTCCTCTTCTTCTGAGTCCGGCCATTCTGGCTCATAATCATTGTTTTGGTCGTCGCCTACCATTGCAGCCTCGTCTCTTCTTCGTGTCGTATCATTTTTTCTGGGTCCTAAATCAGACTTGACATGAAACCTGGCCTCTTCACATATACAAGGCGATGGGTTTTCATGAAATTCACCCCTGCCAGGCCGCATCTCATTTGGCTCCCCCATGAAGCCTCTCTGATATGTTCTTACTCTCGAGGAAAATGCTCCCCATGTCATGTTGGCTCTGTTCGTGAACAACCTATACAGTTTTTTGGCATTTGGACGAATGGTAGGCTTGTGTCCGAAGTATCTTCTGAAATAGAATTGAATTTTACAAAATTATTCATCACACACACACATATATATATAATTATTTATTTTGTTGAAGAGGGAAATTCCGCACCTTCTTCCAGCCAGTATTCTTGCCATATTTCCATTATTGTTGGTGACAAATACATCACTCTCGTCGCAGACAATAAAGTCGAGCGCAGCCATGCGAGAGGAATATGAAGAAAAATTTTCCAATTCCTGTTTGGAAGCTATGGTTTCTTTGGAATAGAAATTAGGAAAAAGGGCTTTGAGAGGGGCTAGCGTCTCTTCCCCGCCATATACTTCACCAGATGCCACATAGATATGGACGTCCTGCCCATATCCCAGCGCTCTCAGCATCAAACCAACCTCTTCTGGAGTCAGTGGGCATTTTCCATGCCTCCTTTCCTTCTCAGGATTGCTGACTTGCTGAAATAAATTCAAAGCAACGTTACTTTAGTTGCCAGCTTATGCTCGAATTATCACATAGAAAATAGATCCATCTAAATGTCAGGCAGTATACAGATCTGAGACAATTTCTTGCTTGTACATGAATTAACTATATTCCCCAAGTAAGGATTGACTATATGCCAAACCAATCCCACGACCTCATTCAAACACAAAAGCCACTGTGCTGGTTGACGTCACTACAATTGATTTGCAAATATTGGTGATAAGCACTGGATTTCTGTACATAATTAAAACTAGAGCCTTACATGCAATGTTTTCCATCGCCTTCGAATTTTTCCGAGTTCTCTTCTTTCCTTTTCACCTCCACCGTAATAGCAACCAGAGAATGCTAGCATATCTGGTTCAAACCTATAGTAATACACAAATGGCAGGATTAAAATCACAATTGACGCCCCAATACTACGACAAGCCGAACTTTTATTGAGAAAAGAAAGAAAGAATACAAGGGCATGCAACAAATCAAACTAGCAAAAGGAAACTAACTAAAAGGAGTTCCAATCAAGTAAAATAAGACCTAACGAATAATTACAAAAGGTGTTCATTTACTGAAGGCCAGAAAGGAATATAGAATCTGATAAGGTATCAAACATCACAAAGAGACCTTTTGCTCCCTCAAAAGATTCCATTATTCCTCTCACCTCATAACCCCCATAAAATAGCACAAACTCGAGAAAAGTCACAATCTAATGGCAAATGATCAAGATCTTCCTCCACCTTCCAACACATAGCGCAATAAAAAGGCCCAACCAACTAGAAAATCTTGCGAGCCTATCTAAGGTTTTAATCCTTCTATGGACAACCAAACAAACAAAGAACTAAACCTTCTTAGGAACTTTCACCTTCCACAAACTCCAAAACACAGACTCCAAAATGCAGACTCTCAAACCAAAGATGGATCTGGCAAAAAATCAAAGAATGAACTACAAGAGAAACCCCGAGGGCCTATTCACCACCCAATTATCCTCCCAAAATAAATATCCCTCCCATCCCCCACGGAGAACTAAACCAAACAAGAGAAAAAGGGGCTCTCAGATGAGATTTCTTTCCATGGATTTGTGTAAGTGTCTTTAACCCCACTCCAAAGGATAAAGACCGTATTTAGCCAGCAGCACTTTGTTTAGATTCCTTGAGTTCCGGTGACCCCCCCCCCCCCCCCCCCCCCCCCCCC